TCGGGGACCGCTTTGCAGAACACCTACGCTCGGTTCGCAATAAACAACTGCACCTCCCAGTCGCGAACCATTTCAACTCCCCCTCCCATTCCTCAGACGACATGTCCATCTTGGGCCTCCTGCAGTGCCACAACGATGCCACCCGAAGGTTGCAGGAACAGCAACTCATATTCTGCTTGGGAACCCTGCAGCCCAATGGTATCAATGTGGATTTCACAAGCTTCAAAATCTCCCGTCCCCCTACCGCATCCCAAAACCAGTCCAGCTCGTCCCCACCTCCCTAACCTGTTCTTCCTCCCACCTATCCCCTCCTCCCACCTCAAGCCGCACCCCCATCTCCTACCGACTAACCTCATCCCGCCCCCTTGACCTGTCCGTCCTCCCTGGACTGACCTATCCCCTCCCTAACTCCCCACCTACACTCACTTTTACTGGCTCCATCCCCGCCTCTCTCCCTATTTATTTCAGAACCCCCTTCCCCTCCTCCTTTTCTGATGAAGGGTCTAAGCCCAAAACATCAGCCTTTCTGCTCCTATGATGCTGCTTGGCCTGCTGTGTTCATCCAGCCCTGCACCTTGTTGTCCCAGGTTACAGTCCAACAGGTTTATTTGAACACTAGCTTTCCGAGCGTTGCTGTTTTCACAGGTGTAGTGAGAGAGGTATCAAGACATAGAATTTATAAGTAAAAGATCAAAGGATCATACAACTGATGTGAATGTATTGAATAAACCGAAAATGGCTGGCTCACTCCCTCCTGTTAAATCTTTAATCAGTTAGAAACGTGATGCAGGTTTCGATTGATTAAAATGCAAATCCCAGAATTTCTCTCAAATCACTGCCCCGAGATAACTAAAGATTTTATCAGTATATACAAGAGGTGACATCTCAGGTCAAACAATGCATTTTAGGTGTGAGGCTGTGTTTAGGATCTGTCTGTATTTTAACCTGGAGTCAGACTGGTTTTATTTCCAAAGCAAGAATTTATAAAATGCCCCATTGACTGGCTGTGTCCACAAAGTGTGTGCTTTTTGAACAAAATAGAATGTATCTGCAAATACCATAACTTTATATGGGGGTGGGGGGGGCTGCAGCTGATGAATCTGGTGTGAACACATTTCCTGACGGCTTGAGCATACATGTTGAGCTTCGGGCAGCGGCCTTCCGGGGCGGGGTGTCCAATTCGACTCCCCCTTTGGTCGCTCCACCACGGATCTCTCTGTCGACTGTTCCAGTTTGTTGGTTGTCTCATTGGGCTCGCTGCCGACGTCTTGGAAGAAGTCCCAGAGTCTCAGTCGTCTGATGAATTCCTCTGTGTCTGCCGTGAGACCAATGGGGTCCGTTTTGGTTGTGGGACAGAAACTGAGCCCTAGGCTGAGAAATTCAATCTCGTCCGGTTGAAGGGTGTGGTTAGATCAGTTGTTGATGGATTTCCCTGCGGTGGTACCGGGGAGGCTTGGTTACTGCTGGTGGTGATGCCAAGATTCTTCAGTTTCTTGTTCTTGGTGTGCGTGTAGGAGCATGCCCGCAGCGAAGAAACTACTCCATGTTCTTCGCAGCCTTCAACACGTTATCGATGATATGCATCTCGCCAAGATCTTCCCCATGCCTCCACCTCTCGCCTTCAAACAACCGCCATACCTTAAACAGACCATTGTTCACAGCAAACTATCCAGCCTTCAGGACTACATCAACCACAACACCACACAACCCTGTGACTGCACCCTCTGCAAGACATGTCAGATCATCGACATGGACATTACCATCACACGTGGGAACACCACCCACCACGTACATGGCAGATACTCACGTGACTCGACCAACGTTGTCGCTCTCGTACACTGCAGGCAAGGATGGTATATTGGCGAAACCACGCAGACGCTACGACAATGGATGAATGGACACCGCGCAGCAAATCGCCAGACAGGGATGTTCCCTCCCAGTGGGGGGTGTCACTTCAGTGGTCAAGGGCATTCAGCCCTGGATCTTCGGGTAAATGTCCTCCAAGGCAGACTTTGGGATACGCAACAATACAGAGTCACCAAGCAGAAGCTGATAGATAATTTTTGTATCCATGAGGATGGCCTCAACCGGGATCTTGGGTTCGTGTCACACTACAGGTGACCCTACCACACTATACACTCTCTCACACACACATACATACATGCGCGCACACGAGGACCCTCTCACACTCTCACACACTCACACTCTCACACTCTCACACTCTCACACTCTCACACTCTCACACTCTCACACTCTCACACTCTCACACTCTCACACTCTCACACTCTCACACTCTCACACTCTCTCACACTGTCACACTGTCACACTGTCACACTCACACTGTCACACTCTGTCTCTTCCCCTCATGTGTGCGCGCGACATGTATGCTCAAACCGTCAGGAAATGTGTTCACACCAGATTCATCAGCTGCAGCCCCCCCCCCCCCCCCCCCCCCCTACATATAAAACTATGGTATTTTTGATACATTCTATTTTGTTCAAAAAGCACACAATTTGCAGATACAGCCAGTCAATGGGGCATTTTATAAATTCCCGCTTTGGAAATAAAACCAGTCTGACTCCAGGTTAAAACACAGACAGATTCTAGACACAGCCTCATTCTTAAAATGCATTGTCTGATCCGAGATGTCACCTCTTGTATATACTGATAAAACCTTTAGTTATCTCGGGGCAGTGACTTGAGAGAAATTCTGGGATTTGCATTTTAATCAATCGAAACCTGCATCACGTTTCTAACTGATTAAAGATTTAACAGGAGGGAGTGAGCCAGCATTTTCAGTTTATTCAATACATTCGCATCAGTTGTATGATCCTTTGATCTTTTACTTATAAATTCTGTGTCTTGATACCTCTCTCACTACACCCAGGGAAGGAGCAATGCTCTGAAAGCTAGTGTGTTCAAATAAACCTGTAGGATTATAACCTGGTATCGTGTGACTTCTGATTTTGTCATCCTTTTCCAGTCACTAATTGTGTCAGGTGAGATGTTCGCAGAGTCATCATGACACAGTTTAGTCAATAAAACACTCTAATGAAAGCAAAATATTGTGGATTCTGAGAATTGACATACAAGCAGAAACAGCTGGAGGAACTCAGCAGGTCTGGCAGCATTTATGGGGGGAGAAACAGACTTAACATTTCAAATCCTCCATGATTTCTTCAGAAGTGAAGGACTGAAGAAAAGTCACATTGACTCAAAACATTAAATCTGTTTCTGCCTCCACAGGCCTGCTGAGTTTCTCTGTTTTAATATTCATAAATAAAGCATTGACCTATATTCAAAATATGGAATTAAAGAAGCATCATTTAGTTCTGCTCACCAAGTGGAGAGTTTACAAAATGTTTCAGATGGCGGTTGGTATATATTTTTGTGAATGTATTGTCTATATTTAATCCTTAAATGGATGATATAATGTACATACCATTAAAAGCTTGTGTCTGTATAGGTTACAACACATTGGCTGTTCCTTTGCCTCACACGTCACATTCATTAAAAGGAATTAGTTAAAATACACACACTTAAAGTTTCTCCCAGAAATGTTTATTCACAAAATAGGACTGTGAAAATCAGATCCCTGTGGAAAGAGACAAAGTACAGGTTGTTTTCATCTGCATGCTGCAGTACACTCTATGAATTCATCTTGTGACTAACCTGAAAGCACTTAATCTAGTCTCTGAGAACAAAAAGCTGTGTTTCCCCAGCACCGACACCTCTTCATTTCAAATTGAACAATGGTTTGAAATATGTACCTTCCTCAGACAACAGATACTACCCTTCCAAGTGTCAATCTTCGTTGGTGCTGCAAAGCAATTTTTAAAAAAAAAAAATTAAGCCATTGAGCTGGAACCTGCAATTTTAATTACACTTGCTCTCAGGTTGACCTCAGCAGATAATATGCTGCTGCAGTTACCTGTGAGGTTTTCACTCGGAGCTGTGCCCTTCAGGGGTCCTGTCAGGTTTACCAGCCAGATGGGGTGCACACCAGGGGAGGTCTGGCAGCAACTTCAGAACATTGCGCTTCTGCAGAATTTGCATTCCTTTTAAAAATTTCTAGTTTCATTTAATTGTCCCTGCAGCCAGCCCCCTCACCGCATCCGCCCCCCTCCCCCCCCGCAACCGAACTCAATATTTGTTGAGATTAAAGTCACCTATTTATTAAGCTAGATCTCGGGGAGGTGTGGGTAAGTGAAGAAAATTCAAGAAACGTGCAGCCAAGCACAAAAGTGAGTAAGTCTATTTGGTGATGTTGCTGAGTTTCCTTGGTGAGAACGGTAATCAACGCTACTATCAAGACCCACTGCCTCTAATTTCCCTGCCATGCCCTCTAGTTGGCAGCCAGGTGTCCACTTTACTGCCTGTTTTACACTTTTTCATCGCGCCTGTATACCTGAGTGATTTCTTCACAAAAACCATTCTTGACTAGAACAAATACGGTCTTTTAAAATTTTAAAATAAACTTTTGGCGCACACAGTGGTAGGGAAGAGCCAATCTAGTGTCTCATTAATATGAGAATTACCAATTAATTCAGGAGAAACCCCTCTGACAAGGGTTGTGGTGAGAATGCAGAATTCGCTACCACAGGGAGTGGTTAAAAGAGAACAGTTCAGATATACTTTGAGAGGAGAGGTCAGCGCGTGAGGGATCGGGAATTGTACGGTAAGGGTTTTGGCCCGAACTGTTGACTTTCCTGCTCCTCAGATGCTGTCTGACCTGCTGTGCTTTTCCAGCTTCACTCCCACAGACTCTGGCTTCCAGCATCTGCAGTCCTTATTGTCTCTATAGAGTAATGTTGACTGATCCAGAAGAGGAAAGAAAGCAGGAGGCTTGAGGGGAATCTAAATACCAGGATAGAGTAGTTGGGCTGAATGGCCTGATTTTGTGCTGTATGTTATGATGTCTGTACAAATGCCCAGGCATTGCTCAGCAAGCTGGGAAATGTTAACATATTTTAAATCGTTGTCATCTGTGTTTTCTGTAGCTGAGGCCTTAGGTTTGGATCATATGGTTCCTGTTCCATACAGGAAGATTGCCTGCGACCCAGAGGCGGTGGAAATCATAGGGATACCGGAAGGAATTCCCTTCAAGCGACCTTGCACCTATGGAGTTCCCAAACTGAAACGTATCTTGGAAGCAAGACACAAAGTTCGGTTTGTTATTAAAAGGTAAGCTGGGTTCGGGAGGTGTGGCCAGTGAGCAGTTCACTCACAGGTGACATAACAGCCGAGTCTACGGCAGCATGCGTGAGTCATTCTGGGGTCACAGATCAGGAGTTAGAATCCTGGCTGGTTTTCACTTCAGTGTCGGCAATGCCAATTGTATTGCCCAGCTGATGCCCCTGCTGAAATAAAGTAGTTCAAGTGAGGTTGTAGACCTCTATGAGGGAAATCCACAGGATTGAGTGCAATGTTGGTTTTATATTCGGATAAATATTGCTGCCCTTTGACTTCATTGTGCAGTTTGACATCTCACTCAATCTCATCAATTGTCAGTGTGTGCGTTTGGTTCTAATTAGCCTCTGTGATTCAAAACAGGAACCTCTGGCTTTTAAGCTGGATGGTACCTTTTACTCTGAGGTCATTAATTATGGAAACAAACCCCAAGCAAAACACACTGCATTGTGCAGATGGAATGCCACAGCCCCCTTTACTTGACAGATCATCATAGATGTTGATGGAATTGCTGCTTTTTCAAACTGCACTTTTCTGTAAACCAGACTCTGGTCCAGAGTGCCTGTGTCCTAGTCATGATCAATTCTACTCTGCAATGGGCCACAAGGAGGCGTTCAAAGACATCCAACCAATTTTCCCTAAGAACCTTGTACAGAAGCAGTGAGTCTCTGCTCATTACTATCTCATTGGGATTTCATACGGATGCAGCATTCCCAGCAGCTACTTTTTGCCTTGCTGCTGGTTTTATGTGCTGGAATACAGATGAGGCAAAGCTGAAAGAACTGTTTTTTGGCTGTGTCACCTTGGTGCTGACAGGGGGAGCTGTACGTGTGACAAATATGTCATACTTTTATTAACATAGTTTTGGTTTCTTGGCTGTCCATTTAAATCCAGTCAGAGCTACTCAAAAACCAACTGCAGTACAATCTCCTGCAGTAAGTTCATCTCCATACGATGTTTATTGGTTGCTGGCTGTCATGGAATTCAAACCTGAGGAATGCGTTGAGCTAAGCTTGGCACCAGAATGTGAATTGCAGTTCTTCATTTATAACTTCTTATGTGGGGGCTGGATTTTCCCTGATGTTGGGGCCAAGTGAGGCAAATGGGGTAGACCTGGCACAGTGTGGGATACAGTCATCAAGAATTTTCCCTGAATTGACCAATCGGTGTCCAACGATAGGCTCACCAGCCCAAAGGAGCAGCGGTTTGGGTGAAGGACAGAAAGGGGGCCTTAGTTTTGAGGCCACTATTGTCGAGGGCAACATTTGGCTGCAGTTAGTTGCAAGGAAGCTCTCGAAGCATGCCCCAGAGTGCTGGCCCTGAGCTTCACCATCAGGAGATCACCTCCAGACATTTGGTCAACTTGAGGGCACCTGAACGAGAATCATCTTCTGGCGGTCTTTAATCATCAGGCATTTGGCTACCTGCTTCTCGAGGGCATGTCACCTCCAATCCCATCTCCAGAAAAAGTGATCCGACGGTGGGATAGAGTCACCAAACTGGCATACCGGGAAGCAGTGTGAATGTTGGCATTGCCGCCTGCGCATTGCCCCCACAGAGGCTTAAAGACCCCACCCATGGTGACCGGATTTAAAGGTACACTCAGCAACTTTAAACTGGACAGTCAAAGTGACTACACTTTAGCCACAGGGCACCAGGGGTGTCTGTGTCGATTGAATCAAGAGGTGCTGCTGTTTTTCCTTCATAGAGTCAGAGTCATACAGCACGTTGTGGGCTGGGAGCTCTTGTCATTTCAAGTACATTTTACAAACTTTGAAAATTGAAGAGTGAGGAGGATTGATTTATAACGGACTGGTGTATAATCTCACACCTATGTACTAAGACCAGTGGCTTAGCTCTTTCCAATGAAGACTAAAGGGCCTCCTGCATAGGATCTGAGCCACCAGTGGACTGAGCTTGGCCTCGTATTACAGTGAGTCTGGGGAAGGGAGCATCATAAGTTGCGTGCTGCTAACGGAAATTAAAACCAGAAGGTTTGCATATCGTCGCGTGGCTGGTTTCTGGCTGCTGGGGTATGCAGCTACAGTAATGTGGATCTCCTGTCTAAGCTGCAGTTGCTGGTCACCTGGACAATAACATCAGGAGCATGTACTCATTATGCTTGCATGCAGCCTCTCTGTTGTGCAGCTGGTTGGCCTGCTACTCATCGTAATAGAGTTTCGGTTGCTAAATCAGAAAGTTTGCGCTGATTGAAATGCTTGTGCATTTTGTAGAAACCAAATTCATTTTTTTTTTATTTGTCTCTGTTTCCTGCAGGATGTTTGATGAGCGAGTTCTAACAGGTAAGCAGGCAGTGAACGGTAGATGACTATCGCCTGGTAAAGTCAGGCCTTCTGTTTACCTCTGCCTTATGAGCTGCACTGCTGAGATGGGCCCTGTCAAAATTCTCAGCTCAGCCTCCCTTCAGCGATTATGTTCGACAGATGGAATTTATGGGGAATCCCGTTTTAGTGTGAACATTGGTGGTTAAGGTTCTGTTGAATTAATTAGAGGGAGGTACGTTTGTGTATGACAGATTCTTGAAAAGCCCCCTCCAACCATCAACCAAGTGGCCTAGAACATGGATCAATGGTAGTTTGAATCTCCCTGCGGTCCTTGCCCAAGGTGTGATCTTAGAATGGTTTCGTTTGCGAAGTAGTCGTGCCAAGCTCCTTGGACATTTTGAGTTGGTGTCCTCCAGACAATGAGAGTAGCATCTTGCCATTATGATGCTGTTTGCTACTCTTCCTGGAAGTCCCCTGGGCGGATAAAAAAACATCTCTTTGGCTTCAGAGTTGTGTAGCATTAATCTGGGAAAGAGAGCATCTAATTGCAAAATCTATCCAGAAGATGAAATAAATGCCAAGGTGTTTGTCAACTATGAAGCACAGAAAGACACTACCTCCCCTCCTCATAACTGCTGAGATGGCCTACCTACTCAAGGAGCATGAGCACACTAAGAGCACAGTGTTCAAGTTCATTCCAACAGCCTGCAGGCAGCCACAAAAAGGCAGCTGCTTTAATTGTTTTCTCTGTGTCAGTTCATATCCCTTGGGGGTGTGGCTGTATTTCAGGGGTGGAGGGGAACGATGAGATGCCCTGAGGTTTACAATGGATAAACAGCATAACTTGATGCTTGCACAGTTTATTCAATCCTTTTAATCTTGTTAAACCTGCTGTGGCAATGCTTTCATGTTCTGTAATTTGATCATTCATTGTAAAAGAGATTTTCAAATATAACCCATGTTTACTTCAAAACGTCGCCAGACTTGAGGCATTTCATGCCATGTAAATGTTTTAAAGGATTCATGAGAAGCCTTCAAGTGAGAATGATGTGAATTATTTGTCAAGAACATAATTGGAATCCTCTTCAAAAGAGCCAGTGCAAAATTGATGGCCAAACAACATGCTGCTGTACGGCACCATTGTATTATTTAATGATATTTGGGTTGTAATATTTTATTGCTAGTGTCATTTCCAAATAGGTATGACACAGTGATGCAAATTTAATTTCACTGTCAAATTGACAAATTGGTTAAATTGGCTGTGTGGTGTAGCACACTTTTGTGTGTAATAGAAGCTACATATTTGAATACACACGACACTGTTCATTGTATACAGAACATATACATACGTTGCACCTGTTTCAACTCAACAAAACAGGTAACAGCCTTCACTGTCTGAAGGAATGAACTAACGTCCTGTCCAATCAGAATCAATCTGCCTGATTTAACATTTAAAGAAAGCCTGGCAGATAAGTGTCAATGATCATTAATTGTTGCATTCTCCATGGCAATGCCTCTGCCAAACAGTCAGCACAATCCTTTCGAGCAGCATAAATGTTGGTTTTCCCCTTAAATTGTTGTTCTTGCACATTGTCCTGCTGAGTGGAAGATGAAAAGTTTTGACTTTTTTCAGCAATATTCAATTGTTTTAAGTTAGAGACAAAGCATCCCCAGGGTATCATCATAGAGACACTGTTACATATATATATAAAAATAAAAAAAATCATTAGAACCAGAGAGCTGGTGGACAGCTAATGTTATTCTGATACTTAGAAAGGAAAGAACAACTCTAGGGAACTATAGACAGGTTAGCTTAACAGTAGGAATGATAATGAAAGCTTTACTTCAAAATGTGATAGAAAAACCTTTAGAAACCAAAAGTACATCATAAAGAATAGTGAACAAGCACTTTAAAAGGGAAGGTCGTGGTTGAGCAAATGTGTTCTTTTGAGATGTTACAAAGACAGTGGGTAAGGATAATGAGGTAGATGTAAAATGCTTAGATTATCAAGAGGCCTTTAATAAGGTACCACATGGTCAAATCAAGCAGTCAATAAGAAATAGGAGCAGGCGTAGGCCATCTGGCCCCTTGAGCCCACTCTGCCATTCAATAAGATCATGGCTGATCTTTTCGTGGACTCTGCTCCTCTTACCCACCCTGTCATCATAGTCCTTAATTCCTTTACTGTTCAAAAATCTATCTATCTTTGTCTTAAAAGCATTCAACAAGGTAGCCTCAACTGCTTCAGTGGGCAGAGAATTCCACAGATTCACAACCCTTTGGGTGAAGAAGTTCCTCCTCAGCTCAGTCCTAAATCTGCTGCCCCTTTATTTTGAGGCTATGCCCCCTAGTGCTAGTTTCACCTGCCAGTGGAAACAGCCTCCCTGCTTCTATCTTTATGTATTTCCTTCATAATTTTAAATGTTTCTATAAGATTCCCACCCCCACCCTCATTCTTCTGAATTGCAATGAGTATAGTCCCAGTCTACTCAATCTCTCCTCGAACAGAAACCTTGTTACAAAACAAAATACACAATGCATACTCAGATTGCTGAAAGGTGAGGGGTGGCTTGTTCCATAGGAATTCGTGTGGGAAACTATTTTGTTCACAATTTACAAACAATTCACATTTCAGAATTGGAAGTAAAACTTCAAAATATGTGGATGATGCCAATTTCTACATATTGTTAACACTGAAGGCAATTGCAACAAAATACTTGCAGATTGGGCATGTTATTGACAAATGAAGTTAATTGTAAGTAAATGGTGCATTTCGGTTGCAGGAAAATGGGGCGCATGTACTCCTTGAAAATAAGAGTCTAAATTGGGTAGAGAGGCGAAGAGATCTCGGGTACAGATTCTCCATCATTAGAAGTGGCAGCACTGGTGAACAGTAGCATGAGGATGCCAACAAAAGACTAGGTTTCTTTCTCAATGTAGCAGAATTTGGAAACGAAGCAGTTGTGTTAAGCTTACGTCTAACTCTGTTTAGACACGATTGATGCACATATTGGGTCTCATTCTATACAAACAATGTAGAATAAGCTAGAACTGAAACCACAAAAGTTTTGTGAAGATGATAACATCAACTGAGAGGCTTTAACCATTAGGAACAACAAACAGATCAATGTTTTTTTTTCTCTATTAGGAGCTCAATAAGGTAGATATAGGGAGCTCCCTGTTTCCTGTGGGATATAGACTTCACCTGCTGTAGGTGGTGGGAAAACCAACATCAAAGAAGACCTACTTGACCTCATTCTCACCCATCCACCTGCCATTGGTGCATCTGACTCTATGGCAGTTTTGTGCTTTTATGTAAATAGTAAAAGCTTACAGAGCTCAGAGATGCAGAAGGAGCTGAGTGTCATGGTGCATGAATTGCAAAATGACCACCTCATAGACCTTGTGGAACAAAGTCCCATCTTCACACTGAGAACATACTCCATTACGTTATTTGGCACTAACATCGTGCTAAACGGAATAGTTTCAGCACAAGTCCAGCAGCTGAAAACTAGGCATTATCCACGAGGGGATGTTGGCTATCAACAACGGCAGAATTGTTCAACCACAGGCTGTAATCTCATCCCTCACTCAACAATTACCATCAAGCCAGGGAACCAAGCCGGTTCAATGAGGCATGCAGGAGAGCATGTGGAAGCAGCACCGGACACACGGAAAAATGAGTTGCCAACCTGGTAAAACTACAACATAGGATACCTGCCTCCTAAGCAGCATGCCTTAGACAGAGCTAAGTGACCCTATGACCACTGATCAGATCAAAACACTACAGCCCTGCTACATCCAGTCATGAATGGTGGTGGACAATTAACTAAGCCAAGGAAGAGGCTCCAAAAAATGGTAGAGCCATCTCTCTCTTCAATGGACAATCCTTTTTTTGAAACAGTGACCATTTGTTCTACATGTTTCCTCAAGGCGAACCATTCTTTCCACAAGCCCCTCAAAATTATATATGTTTCAATCAATCACCTTACTGTTCTAAACTCCAGCAGATACAATAAGAGTCATATAGCATGGAAACAGACCCTTTGGTCCACACTGACCATAATCCCAAACTAAACTAGCCCCATCTGCCTGCGCTTGGCCCATATCCCTCCAAACATTTCTTATTCATGTACTTATCCAAATGTCTTTTAAACATTATAACTGTACCTGCATCCCTCACTTCCTCTGGAAGCTCATTCCACCAGCCTATCCTGTCCAATTTTCTCTCGTAAAGCAACCAGCCAATTCCAGATATTAGTCTAATAAATATTCTTCGAACTGCTACCCCTGTATTATTATCCTTTTTGAAGGAGGTGGTCAATATGATACTCAGTGTTATCAGATCTGGTCTCATTAATGGCCTGTATAACTGAAGCATAATCATTTGACTTTTATATTCAATTCTTCTTGCAACAAATGACAACATTCTAATAGCTTTCCTAATTATTTGCTGTATCTGTACATTAACCTTTTGCAATTCATGCACCATGACATTCAGCTCCTTCTGCATCTTTGAGCTTTGTAAGTTTTTACCATTTACATAATGCTGTTTTTACTCTTCTGCTAAAATGGACAAGTTCACACTTTTTCACATTATACTCCATTTGCCAACTCACTCAACCTACCTGCACCCCCATATATACATGGCTGCCAGTCAGTTTCTCTGATTTATCTAATATTAATGGCTCAATTGTATCGTTTTGCTTGAATTGATAATGTCATTATAATGTAAATAGATCCACCTCTGTCCTCCCTGTCCACTGATTTTCGTGCTGTTTAATGACCCGATTAGAATCAATATTGTATTTAAATGTTGTACTTTCTTGCAACCACTGCAGAAAAGCCTTGTTAAAATTGATTCTTCAAAACAGAGCAGGCCTTTGGTGAGAAAATGCTCTCCTATCTGCATTGCTCAATTCTTTGCTGTAATTGGAAACCTCAAAACCAAGCAGTTCTTGCAAAGGCAGCTTAAGAATATGAATGTTCTGTTTGTTCTAGGCAACAAATACATACGGGATGGTTCCAAACCGGATAGCCATTCCCCTTTGGATGAGGAGTCTCACAGAACAATGGCACTGGACATGACCCCAAAGAACCACATTTGCAGGTAGGAAATCGTGAACTCCATCAGCCTTTAATGTGAGTAATCATTGACAAAGATGGAACTTGCTTTTATGTAACAACCTCAGGACACCCAAAGCAACTTATTACCATTGAGCTACTCTTTGAAGTGTACTAATCATGACAGCGTACAAATCGCTGATCCAATTTGTACACATTAAACAATGCAACTCAACAATTCACAATGGGATTGTTTTTAATGAGGGGTCAAAACAGTCTGTATTCCCAGAACTTACCTTGTACTTGAATAATGCTTTAGAATTTTTGTTTATCCATCTGAGCTGACATTTGGACCCTCATCTTGCCTGTTTCATCAAAAGATGACACCTGTGACAGTGCAGCACTTCCTCAGCCCTGTACTGGACAGTCAGCCTTGACTTTCAAGCCTCTGGTGTGAATCCTCAGTCTCCTAATTCAGTGCTCCCATCAAACCACGGCTGATACCTAATTAATCATTCTTTCATAAGTCCCAACATAGATAATCCTGCCCTCTTATCCTTCATTAATGTAATATCGATCACCAAGCAAACGGTCCAGAAATTTATAACAGCACTTTTATATTTTAAAAGTTTCTTAAAATCAGTTGTTTTATAGCCACCCATACTCATTTAATGGATATCAGTTTCCTTAACATACAAGGCTCCCACATAATTTGGATAACTAAGCAAAGAGTAAGGTTGATTGGAAACCAAAAATGGTAACTTGTGTGCAGAAGCAAAGGATGTAGATATGGTTCTTAATGAATACTTTCCATCTTTCTTCACAAAGAAGGGAACAAATCAGGCATTCAGGATAAAGAATGTGAAATATTGGATGGGGGAAAAAGAGTTTAGCATCTTGGAGAGTGAATAAATTGCCAGGCCTGGATTACATGAATCCCAGGCTGGTGAAATGAGCAAGAGTGGAAAGTACAGAGACCCTGACCATCATTTCCCAATCCTTTCTAGCTACAGGCACAGTGCTGTTAATGTAATGCTGTGGTTTAAAAGGGAGGAAGGGATATTTTGTGTAATTAAAGGTGATTCAGCCTAATCTCGGTAATGCGCAAAACTATTGGGAAAAATTCTGAAGGACACATCAAACTGTCATTTCGAGAGGCACAGATTAGCAAAGGACATCAGCATGGATATGATAAGGGTAGGTACTGTTTAACTAACTTGATTAACCTAAAAAGTTTAATGAGGGTAACATGAATTTAGGTAACAAGGCTTTAGGCAAGGCATCACACGGCTGACTCACCCAAAAAGTGAAAGCACGTGAGATCCAATGGCAAGTGACAAGGGTTGGATCCAAAATAAGTTCAGTGGAAGCAAAGGGTTATGTTTAGTGGATGTTTCTTGACTTGGTTATTTCCAGTGGGTTGCCACGGAGCACAGTGACTCGCTTTTGGGTTAAAAATCCAACACTTAACCATTGCCCTACATTTTTAATAAGAAATTGTCAATTGGTTTTGTGGTTAATAATGAGGAAGGAAGCTGTTGACTACTGGGAGGTATCAATGTGCTGGTCAGGTGGGCAGAAAAGAGGCAATTTGCAGAAGTGTGAGGTAATGCATTTGGGAAAGACCAGCATGACTATCGAATACAGAATAAACAGTGGGAATCTGAAAATTGTAGAAAAACGGCAGGATCTTTTGAGAATGTGACTGCAGAACCCTGAAAGGACCAAAACAGGTTGCAGTTTGTGTGGTCTGCCCCAGAGGTAGGATCGTCTGATGTTTTATCCTGAGCTGTTTTTCTTGGCAGATTTGGTGGGTGGGTGGTTTGCAATCCCTTTCACAGGGGCAGCGTGGAGAGGCCGGTCATTAGGCCACATTAGCCAGAACAAGAATTGAACCCACGCAGTTGGAGGTTTTCCTGAATCTGTGCTAAGCCATCAAACTCACTGGTTCCCCGTGACAAGGTATGATACTTTCCTTTATTAATCTAGGCAGAGAAATAAGACAAGGGAGCTATGCTAGAACTGCATAAAACTGGTGTTAGGCCAATTTTGGTTACCACATTCCCGAAAGATGTGACAGGACCACAGCACATACTGAGGAGATTCATGGGGATGTTGCCAGAAAGTGAGAATTTCAGCTTTAAAGAGAGTTTGAAGAGGTGAGAGTTACTTTACTTGCAAGAGATAAGTCTGAAGAGCTTTATCTGAGGCGTTTAAAATTGAAAAGCCTGGATAGAGAGGATAGGAAGACTAGAGAGGCCAATAGCTAGGAGGCATGATTTAAGTTAATGGTAGGGGATTAGAAGGGTGGAGTATGAGGGGGTTTATTTTCCACCCAGAGGCAGGGTGGGGGGAACGATCAGGAATTCACTGCCTGACAGGGTAGCAGAGGCAAAAACACATTTAGTAAGTGCTTGGACCTGCATTCAGTGCAATAGCCATCCTAGGTCACAAAGAGCAAGAGCTGGAAAATGGGATTGGGTCGAATAGTAATCATGGCTGGCAAAGACATGGTCAGCTGAATCGTCTCTTTCTGTGTCATAAACAGTCTGCTTTCAGGACTGGAATTACCTCCATGAAAACTGAATGGTTTGAAGAGTGCACTATGAATAAACAAAATTACCTTTCTCGACTGTTATGGATTTTTTTCACACTAGTGCCTCTTTAAAATTGGTACACATTACTAAGAGTTGCAGAAATAATGTTCCGCAAAGGTGTGACTTGTCACACTTGAATGCTAACTTCAGCACAGTAGTACAAGAAATATTATATTACAGTTTTCAATATCTACTCATTATGAGGGGGGAGCAGTGGCTCAGTGGTTAGCACTGCTGCCTCATAATGCCAGGTTCAATTCTAGCCTCGGGTAACTGTCTGTGTGGAGTTTGCATCTTCTCCCTGTGTGTGCATGGGTTTCCTCCCACAGTCAAAAGATTAGATTAGGTGTATTGGCCATGCTAAATTATCCACCGTGTCCAGGGAGATGTAGGTGGGTTAACTGTGGTAGCTGTGTGGTTATAGGTATGGGGTGGGGGAGTGTTGGATCTGGGTGAGATGCTCTTCAGAGGGTCAGTGTCGATTTCTGGGCCGAATGGCCTCTTTCTGCGCTGTAGAGATTCTACGACTGTGAGATTAAAGAGGATCAGACTGATCTTTCTCTCTTGCTTTACAGCAAGCTCATGTCAGATGATTAGGTCTGCCATTCATATTTGAGTGACTTTAAAACTGCCTGAATTAGTTCACCTCTGGACTACCTTTCTAAAAAAAAAAGCACAATCCAAATTACGTGATGCTTAACTAAGCCAAACTAATCACAACAGGACCATTGGATTAAACAGACCAAAGTGTAATTAAATATGAAAGTCCCATTAACCTAACATTATTTAGTGTGATCAAAGATTTTTGTTATTACTACCAGGCAATTAATGAGTGAGGATTCCTTTCAGATGTTCACCATTGTAGGGATTCTGTGATATAATTCATCAAAATCATAATAGCACAAGCATGTTTGTCCCGATATAAATTTCAGATTCAGCGTTAGCTGGTTTTGTTGAGTAACAGTGTAATGAGGTTATCCCAAGGTCCAAGATTGCAGACTAACTTGGTAATGGCCACATTTACAGTTCAGCTTGATAAGATTAGGTTTACAGTTATACATAAAGTGTCACATGTATGTCTCCACATGCATGCTATCTATTTGTGACGTGGATATGGAATGTACCACTCTACCTTTTTTGTCATGTTCTATCTCATGGTCAGTATACCTTTAAGAGAAATACCCATGATATTATATGACCTGAGGGTATAATGATCTCATACCTCCATCTTATCCTAGGATCACTTGAGGCATGACATGCTATTGAAAACATACTGCTCTGCTATAATCTAATATCTTAATATTAGTCCAGACATTTAGGTGCCTGTAAATGGAATGCCCGTATAGAATAATTAGCTATTAGTTTGTTGCATTCAATACCACAATACCCATGCATAGTTTCTTATGTTGTAAGGGATAGCATAGACTACGTAAGACATAAGACAGAAATTAGGCCATTCGCCTGATCGCTCCGCCATTCAATCATGGCTGATAAATTCCTCAATCCCATTCTCCCATTTCTCCCCGTAACCCTTGATCCCCTCGATAATCAAGAACCTATCTATCTCAGTCTTAAATGTACTCAATGACCTGGCCTCCACAGCTTTCTGTGGCAGTGAATTCCATAGATTCACCACTCTCTGGCTGAAGAGGTTTCTCCTTATCTCTATTTTAATACGTCTTCCCTTTACTCTAAGGCTGTGCCCTCAGGTCCTAGACTCTCCTGCAAATGAAAACATCTTCCCAACATCCACTCTGTCCAGGCCATTCAGTATTCTGTAAGTTTCAATTAGATCCCCCCTCATCCTTCTAAACTCCAATGAGTATAGTCCCAGAGTCCTCAAACGTTCCTCATTTGTTAAGCTTTTCATTCCTGGGACCATTCTCGTGAACTTCCTCTGGCTCCAGGGCCAGTACATCTTTCCTGAAATATGGGGCCCAAAACTGTGCACAATACTCCACATGTGGCCTGACCAGAGCCTTACAAAGCCTCAGTAGTATATCCCTGCTTTTATATTCAAGCCCTCTCAAAATAAGTGCCAACATTGCATTTGCCTTTCTGACTACTGACTCAACCTGCAAGTTTACCTTGAGAGAATCCTGGACTAGAACTCCCAAGTCCCTTTGCACTTCAGACTTATGAATTTTCTCCCCATTTAGAAAATAGTCCATGCTTTTATTTTTCTTACCGAAGTGCATGACCTCGCAGTTTCTCACATTTGCTCCATCTGCCACTTCTTTGCCCACTCTCCTAACCTGTCCAAATCCTTCTGCAGCCTCCCCACCTCCTCAATACTACCTGTTCCTCCACCTATCTTTGTATCGTCTGCAAACTTAGCCAGAATGCTCTCAGTTCCTTCATCTCGATCATTAATGTATAAAGTGAAAAGTTGTGGTCCCAGCACTGACCCTTGTGGAACACCACTTGTCACCTGCTGCCATCCTGAGAAAGACCCTTTTATTCCCACTCTCTGCTTTCTGCTAGACAACCAATCTTCTATCCATGCTAGCACCTTGCCTCTAACACCATGGGCCCTTATCTTACTCAGCAGCCTCCTGTGTAGCACCTTGTCAAAGGCCTTCTTGAAGTCCAGGTGGATAACATCCATTGGCTCTCCTTGGTCCACCCTGCTCGGTACTTCCTCAAAGAATTCTAACAGATTTGTCAGGCATGACCTCCCTTTGATGAAGCCCTGCTGACATTGCCCTATTTTACCATACACTTCCAAATATTCAGAAATCTCATCCTTCACAATGGACTCCAAAATCTTACCCACGACTGAGATTGGGCTAATCAGCCTATAATTTTCTGACTTTTGCCTTACTCCCTTTTTAAACAGGGGTGTCACATTAGTGATTTTCCAGTCCTCTGGGACCCTCCCTTACTCTAGCGATTCCTGAAAGATCACCACTAACGCTTCCACTATCTCTTCAGCTATCTCCTTTAGAACTCTGGGGTGTAGTCCATCTGGTCCAGGTGACTTGTCCACCATCAGACCAATCAGTTTTACTCGCACCTTTTCCTTGGTGATGGCCATCATACTCAGCTCTGCCCCCTGACTCTCTCGAATTTTTGAGAGATTACTCGTGTCTTCCACCGTGAAGACTGACGAGAAGTAATTATTCAGTTCCTCAGTCATTTCCTTGTTCCCCACTATTATCTCTCCACCGTCATTTTCCAGTGGCCCAATGTCCACTTTTGCCTCTCTTTTGCCCTTTATATATCTAAAGAAACTCTTACAGTCTTCATTTATATTACTGACTAGCTTACCCTCATATTTAATCTTCTCCCTCCTTGTTTCTTTATTTGTTGCCCTCTGTTGGTCTTTGTAAGCTTCCCAGTCCTCTGGTTTCCCACTGCCCTTCACCACATTATATGCTTTCTCTTTTGCTTTAGTGCTATCCCTGACTTCCTTAGTCAGCCATGGTTGCCTCATCCTCCCTGTACCATGCTTCTTTTTCCTAGGGATGAATTTTTGCTGTGTCTCCTGACTTACTCCCAGAAACTCCTGCCATTGCTGTTCCACTGTCTTTCTTGCTAGGCTTCTCTTCCAGTCAATTCTGCCCGGCTCCTCGCTCATCCCTCTGTAGTCTCCTTTATTCAGCTGTAATACCGTTACCTCTGATTCTATCTTCTCCCTCCCAAATTGCAGAGTAAATTCTATCATATTATGATCACTGCCTCCTAAGGGTTCCTTCACCTTAAGCTCCCTTATTAGGTCTGCCTCGTTGTACAACACTAAATCCAGTATTGCCTGTTCCCTTGTGAGCTCCATCACAAGCTGCTCCAAAAAGCCATCTCGTAGACATTCCACAAATTCTTTTTCTTGCAATCCACTACCAACCTGATTTTCCCAGTCCACCTGCATATTGAAATCCCCCATGATCACTGTGACTTTGCCTTTCTGACACACCTTTTCTATCTCCTGGTATATCTTGCACCCCAGCTCCTGACCACTGTTTGGAGACCTTTACATAACTCCAACTATGGTTTTTTCACCTTTTGCGGTTCCTCAATTCTACCCACACAGATTCTACACCATTTGACCCTACTTTGTTTCTTCCTATTGATTTAATTTCATTTCTTACTGATAAGGCAACCCCACCCCCTCAACCCACCTGCCTATCCTTTCGATAAGATGTATATCCTTGAATATTCAGCTCCCAATCCTGATCCCCTTGCAGCCATGTCTCTGTGATGCTCACCACGTCATATCTGCCAATTTCGATCTGCAAATCAGGTAAAATCACATTGTCATAGTACCAACTTACTGTGAAAAGTAATGTATCTCTGGTATTCTCTGGAATACTTGGTCTTCATTTCTGTGGACACAGACGATCACTCATCCTACCTAGTCATTAGTTTCCTTCTTTGATCATCCTTTCCTTTGCAGATATCTAATTTCTCTACATTGTTATGTTGCCCTTTCCTTTTTAAGTTCAGGTAACTGAACTTGTTGTTTTGTTTCTGTTCAATTCTGCATTAAACTGTTCAGATTTCATTCTTGGATTAAGAGATCTGCTTCCAAAGCTTTTACAACATCCCTTTAACCAGCAAACGTACACAGAAGCATTCTGATTTGGATGAAGTTAAGAATGGCTTTAATGACTTTATTAACAAGGAAGTCCCATTTAAACTGAAAGCAAACCATCGATGCCAACAAAAACAATCAGTCAGTGCTTTCCCAAGGTATCATTTCACTGAGACTTGTAAGAAGCTGTAATGGATGGATTTGATTAATTTGACAAAGGTCAGGGTTTGGTTTTTAACCTCCTTTCTTTGGCTGCGTAAATCATGATGTCAGTAGTTGATTAAGACTTTTCATAACGCATTAGCCAATTTGTAGAAAATTGTTCAAAGACGTTATTACACACCTCTGGAGCAGGTGGAACTTGTGCCCAGGCCTCCTGGCTCAGAGGCAGAGACACAAACACTGTGTCACGAGCACCCTCGATTCTTTAGGTTTTTTTGTAAATCAAACCTGTTTTTCTAATCAACCTGTTCTCGATGTTATTACACACCTCTGGAACAGGTGGGACTTGAACCCGGGCCTCCTGGCCCAGGAGTAGGGATACTACCACTGCACCACAAGCACCTTTTTGATTCTTTGGTTATAGCTAATGGAATTAATCAGGAACTAGTACTGAATGGTTAATTTTGCTGAAGGATTTCTCTGGTTTTGGTTAACAAAGTGCAAGATGACAAGGATTTCTTTTTCCCCAGACTGTATAGTACGTTTTCTGTTCATCTTTACTAACACCAGCTGTTTATTTCCAGATTTATATTGAAATTGAATTCAGATTCTCATGATAGGATTTGAGCGTGTATTCTCAGGAATGTCAGTCAGAATCTCTGGATTACTAATTCATTAATGTGAACACCAGGCAACCATAGGGTGCTGCTGGGGTTCATACATGAGCAGGGTTTTCAACGGGTGCCATCAGAGATGAACTCCATTCTGATCTCACTGTGCATTCACGCTGGGGGCTATTGAATACTGTGGAGAGATTGGGGCTCTGTTTGTTAACCCCTCCCTCACAGACCTAGGCTCCTGAGAACAGCTGTCGTGCCTGGCCCCAACTCCTCAGTGAAAGGGTAGACCCTTGTATGTTGTGGTCTGTGCCAGTGCAAATCTGATGCTGTCAAACCTGCTGAACTTTTCCGACAATTTCTATTTTTGTTTTTGATTTATAGCACCTGCAATTCTTCTGGTTTTTATCATGTAATTCACAATCGGTCATGTGATGAGCCTCCAATTCTTTAACTGTTATCTGTTCCCTTTAATGTTGTGTCTTAGGCTTACGATTCTGCTCCTTGTAGATTTTTTTATTTCACTTATGGGATCTGGGTATCACTGGCCAGGTCAGCATTTATTGTCCATCCCTTATTTCCCTGGAGAAGATAGTGGTGAGCTGCCTTCTCAAACCACTGCAGTCCATGTTCCACAACCAACAGTACTGGGTACCTTTTTATTCTAGCACAGACAGCTTGAATGGCCTCCTTTTAGAGCTGAAACCATTTTCTGATTATGTGCCAAAGCTCGAAAAGGATTAGAGAACTTCTGATTGAGGCCCATGTAATTTTGAATAGATTGAGGACAATTAGGGGCAGCACGGTGGCTCAGTGGTTAGCACTGCTCCCTCACAGTGGCAGGGACCTGGGTTCGATTCCACCCTCAGGTCACTGTCTGTGTGGAGTTTGCACATTCTCCCCATGTCTGTGTGGGTTTCCTCCGGGTGCTCCGGTTTCCTCCCACAATCCAAAGATGTGCAGGTTAGGTGGATTGGCCATGCTATATTGCCCCGTAGTGTTCAGGGATGTGTAGATTAGGCGGGTTATAAGGGGATGGGTCTGTTTGGGATGCTCCAAGGGTCGGTGTGGACTTGTTGGGCCGCAAGGACAAATTCTAGTTGTTGATTTCATCTACAAACTCTTCACGTCCTACCCTGTGATAAGACATTTTGGTTTTTGAAAAGTGTGTTTTTTTCTCGTATCAGGTCGCTGAAGGTGAAAGAAGGTGAAACGGGTAAGTAACTATGTGATTTCTGTACTACACTCTGAAAGATGTAAGTCTGATCTTCCTCGAAATTCTGAAAAACTTATTTGCACAGTTTTTTCCTGCTTCTTAATGTTCCAGTCCATATTGAATTGTTCTTAAATGAAGGTGTATCAAGAGCCCCAAGGCAAGGAAAGGACGGGGATCAGAACAAACTCCACTCAGATTTTCTTTCTCTCAAATCCTCATCCCAACATACAGCCACACACACTTTCTAAATTGATTCACAAGTTGTGGGCATCATTGGCCGGGCCAGCGTTTGTCACCCATCCTTAATTCACCTTGCGAATCGTTGCCATGTGCTGTAGGTAACCCCCACGATGCTGTCAGGAAGGTCATTCCAGAATTTTGACCCAGTGACATTTGAAGGAGCAACAATATATTTCCAAGTATGGGTGGTGTGTGGCTTGGAGAGGACTGTGCAACTGGTAGCGCTTCCACACATCCACTGCCTTTTGGCCCAAATCTAGATGGTAGAGGGTCACACATTTGGAGCATGCTGTTGAAGGAGTCTTCGTGAGTTGTCGTAATTCATCTCGTAGATGGTATGCACAGCTGATACTGTGCATCTGTGGTGAAGGGAGTGAATGTTGAAGGTGGTGAATGGGGTGCCAGTCGAGTGGGCTGCTTTGTCCTGGATAATGTCTTGTGTTGGCGATGCACCATGCAGACAAATCGAAAGTCTTCCTTACTTGTGTCTGGTAAATAGTGGACAGGTTTTGGGGAGACAGAGGGTGAGTTAAACCATGTAAACAGGAGAAGGTTCCTTGAGGCCGCTGCTGGTGGAGGAAAATGGCACCTCCCTGTTTTAATGTTTCTCACTATGGAGTGTCTACAGCTGAGGACGCATTGTTATTCATTCTCTATTTTTAAACAGAGAGAAACAAATTGCAATTTCTTAGCCGTGATTTTGTTTCAGGCTGAATGGCTTCCTTCTGAGCTGAAACCGTTTTCTGATTCTGTACCAAAGCAAGCATTGGACAGGCAGGGAAATCTTTCGAAAAAGGTTAGAGGAGTTCTGATTGAGGTCCATGTAAACATGAATAGGTTAAACAAGATGGTCAAAAAGAGAGTTCCACTAGCGGGAGGATTCAAGACTAGGATACAAAATTTTACTGATAAATCCAACAGGGATATGTGGAGGAACTTCCTGACTCAGTTAAGTAAGGAACTTTACCCCAAAAAGTAGTTGACCCAAATTATATGGATTTTTTTTTTTTCAGAAGGAAACTAGATAGATGCATTACAGAAAGAACAGAAAGAAATGTTGAAAGAATGACATGAAATAAATGGTGTGAAGGAGACTATAAACACCAGCACAGGCTAATTAGGCTGAATGGTCAATTTCTGTGCTGTTTCAAGTTGTCCATTTGGAAATATAATTTATCGTAGTGGCCATTAAAACTTTTTCGTGATTTTGGCATTGCACATGCAGATGATAATGTTCTTCAAACAACTAACTCGTTTCTTCTCTTCCTTAGCCCATTTAGAGTCATAGAGATGTACAGCATGGAAACAGACCCTTTTGGTCTGCATTGTCCATGCCAACCAGATATCCTAAATTAACTTTGCCCCATTTGGCCCATATCACTTTTAACCCTTCCTATTCGTGTACCACCCAGATGCTTTTTAAATGTTGTCATAGTACCAGCCTCCACCACTTCCTCTGGTGGCTCACTCCATATGTGCACTACCGTCTGTGTGAAAAACCTGCCCCTCAGGTCCCTATTAAATCTTTCTCCTCTCACCTTAAACCTATGCCCTCTAGTTTTGGACACCCCCACCCCAAGGAAACGACCATGTCTACTTACCCTGTCCATGCCCCTTATGATTTTATAAGCCTCAATAAGGTCACCCTTCAGCCTCCAATACTCCAGGGAATATAGCCCCAGCCTATTCAGCCTCTCCCTATAGCTCAAACCCTCCAACCCTGACAACATCATTGTAAATCTTTTCTGAACTCTTGTAAGTTTCACAACATCTTTCCTAAGGCAGGGAGACCAGAATTGAACACAGTATTCCAAAAGTGGCCTAACCAATGTCGTTTACAGCTGCAATATGACCTGCCAACTCCTCTACTCAATGCCCTGCCCAATAAAAGCAAGCGTACCAAATGCCTTCTTTTACATGCATTGATAACTCTGTTCATGTTAGAGCAGGGCATTAAACACAGCATTTTTATAACATCCTGGTAATTTTTACCTGCGTATGAAAATTTGGCATTGCTGGCTCGTAGTTTATTTAACTTAGTCTAAAAGTGCTAGAACTAAGGGTCATCAGTTAACTAACAGCCTTAGGGTGAGGGCTTAGTAGAAGTTAACTTTTCCAGGCAATAGTAGATTGGTGAACTATACTCAATGTGGTATCTATTCAATTCTGTCATTATTAAAAGAGAGGTGAAGGTTATCAAGTTAAATATTGCATGGACAAAGGATCAAATCTGACACAGTTTACGGGTAGCATCAGTAGGAACAGGACCTTAGAACACTTTTAGTGGAAAACCCTAAACAGGGGAGATTTGTCAGGTGGGAAGGGAAGATTGATGTGATAGTCTGGAGTCCTATTGACTCAAGTTTGAAACTGGACTACTCTTTTTCACCGTTTTTATGGTGGAGCGGACTCAATGGGCTGAATGGCCAACTTCTGCTCCTGTGGCTTGTGGTCTTGTTAGAAGTACCTTGAGGAAAGCCCATGATGGGTTCTGCTGGAAGGAACAGGTTAGCGGTTGTTTTAGCTGTTTGTGTTGACTTTTCTGGCAATTTCCAGGACAGAGGGACAGCAGGAATCAAATCCTAGCATCCACAAATAATTCCGGGTGACTAGTGTGCTGCTGGGAGATGTACAAGAGGCAGGCTTTTAAATTGTCTTGTCTTTTCTTCCCTCCCTCCCTCCCTTCCCAGCTTATACCGGGCTCATTGTCTCACCTAGCCGGTGTGACCAGTCACTGGAAAGGGGAGACAGTGGCACTGTGGTTATGTCATTGGGCTTGTAATCCTGAGGCATAGGCTAATGCTTTGGGGACAGGAGTTCAAATCCCACCATGGCTGCTGGTGAAACTTATGAATTGGATTTAAGTATAAAATGAGTCTCAGCAATGGTGGCTGTGAAACCATCGTTGATAGTTGTATCAACATATCTGCTTCACTAGGGAAGGAAATCTGCCATCCTTATTGGCATGTGACTCTAGAACCATAGTGACTCTATGATTCTAAATGCAGTTGACTCTTCAACATACATCCATTGGAAGCATAATACAAGAGACATCCTGTGCCACTTGGTTTTTTTCACCAGTTTGTGAGCGTGCTGCCCACAAAGCCGATGGGCGACTGTACCAGCGGCTTTCTGATGATCCATTTCCTCTTCCACCTCCACCCACAGGTGCCTCCATTGATCTGTCAACAATGAAAAAAGTGAAGACAGAGCCAGAAGATTCAGAAATCATTCAAATCACTGTTCAAGGTAAAAAGTAAATAAACCCTGCCCTGAGATGGAAGGAGAGTAATTATTGAACTGATTGAACACATTTGACTGCATGATTTGATTGTCTTTGGAAATACAGTTAGAGACAGATTTGAAATGTGAAAGACAGAAGCTCCAACATTAATGGTGACAGCGGAAAATTCCAGTCCAGACATGATGGACCAACTAGCCTCCTCTACACCGTAGCAGTTCTGTAAATAACTGGTATCTTTTACAAAAAAAAATTGTAATTGCTTGTCCCCGGCACCATTTCATATTCTCTGACCCCTTTTCCTGTTTGAACCTCATTGACTCCTGGGTAGGATGTGGACCAATTCTGGACAAATTCCTATATTGACCAGCCAGGTGCTCCAAACAGGCAGCCACTAGATATAAAGATGGGGAAAGGTCCAAAATTCAGAACCAGTCCATTTAAGCCATCAGTCATTGTCCCTATTTTGACAACCATCTTTTATAATGAACGTGAAGGCAGTGGACAGGATGCAGAATAACTGCAATGGAGCAATAGAGAGAGGTTTAAACAAAATTAGAATGGAACTCATTCCCTTCTGGTGGAAGTGGCCAATGTTATGGAGGCTCTTTATGAGATAAATCAGCAATAAATACTTCCACTAAACAGTAAATCAAGACATTAGTTAAAATTGAAGGAAATTTATTTTCTTTTTCCACATGTTTTTAGGCCATAGATCAGCTGACCAGAAGCTGCGATGGAAATAAATGTAGGATAGTCATCTAAAAAGGAAATGGATAAATCTTTTTCAAACCATTATTGTTGGGCAGGGGCAGAATACTAATTGGATATAGCTTTCAGAGGACCAGCACTGGTATGATGGGCTGAATAGTCTCCAACAATGCAGTGAATTCTGTAAATGCTTCCTAAAATGTGAATCTCTGTTACTGCCAGAGACGTGTGAACAGAATGTATGTTCTCTACAAGATTGTGGCTGAGCAGCAGAGGAATAGATAAATGTTAAAGCTAAATCCATCCTTGGTGATGTCAAAGATACATGTTGCCTCTGTAAATCAGCATCCTGTAGCAGCCAAGGATGTCTGTGAGGAAATAATGGCACCAAACTGTCATCCAGCAGCCAGATCTTTGTCCTTGTTCTTGTGGGCACTCTGCAGTCATGTTGCTTATCTACGTACATGTTTAAAAGCCAGACCTACCAGACATTTTCTGTATCATTTCTTACATTCAGAGCATTCCTCTGCATTTTGCACGTTTTTTTTTTAAATTGTTAAAGTTGACGTTAGACAGCAGGTAGGAACATTTTCAGAAGATTGCAATTGTCACCTGATGAAAATTGCTGCTGATTAATGCCCCACTTTTGTCTAAAAGCCCAGGAGCTGGCAATCTGGTGGTTCCTGTAGCCTGAAGGAGGAGAGAGAAATCTGCAATGAATTGGTCAGGCAACATGTGAACAAATATAAATATTGCTGCCTGTGTGCTATTAAAGTGGCAGCCCTGAATGACACACTCATAAGCGGATGTGAGGGATTGGCCATTTTTCTTTGCTATTTATTTTATTTAACATATATACATATTTCTTTGTGTGTGTATATCTGTGAAAAAGTGAAAGAGCAAGAGAGCAGGATTACACAAAGCTTCAGATCATCCACTTTAACAGCCTATTCATTCTCACTGGGTAACCTATTGTTCTGCTTCTCCCAACAGATCCACATACTACCTCGGAAGACATCAGTGAAAACCTGTCCGCTAAATCCCCCTCTGAGGAAACTAGCATATTGCTGGAATCCCCATCAGGTACCTGATCTCTCCTTGTAACTTAGTGGATAAAAAAGAAAGACTTACTTTTATATGAGATAACAAGATGTAGAGCTGGGTGAACACAGCAGGCCAAGCAGCATCAGAGGAGCAGGAAGGCTGACGTTTCGGGCCTAGACTCTTCTTCAGAAAATCA